ATTTGACGAGAGCCAGCATGTTCTACATCACAAAGCTTAAGTGACTTCTGCAACAACTCCAATACTTCCTTTTCCAAGTCTAATTGTGTAGTCTAAAATTAAATCAATTAATTTTTTAAGTATAAGAACTGTTTATTATCAATATAAGAAATTTATACTGGGTCTGTAGTGCTAAAGTCCTGTAGTTGTTTCGCTAGAGTGAAAGTAGCTGTTGATAACTCCCAATGCACTAAGTCCCATAGCTCAGCATTTAACTTTCGTGTTCCCAAAATGTCTTTCGCTTTCTCATAGTAGGAAAATGCCTCGTTATAAAATGCTTTTTGTATTTTAACAATCTCACTGCTACAAGAGAAAAAAAAACAATATATATATACATTATTACACACAGGCATTATTATAATACTTCTCGTCAACTTGGTATAGGTGAGCACGAAAGCGCATAAATCTGCCCATATTGCAGTACAAAAATGCCAGATTTACGTTATCACCAACCTGAATGAAAGTGAGTATGCCTTGCAATAAGCAATCATAAGATTTCATGGAAAGATTTATATACACAGGATTTTCTTTATTGATGTCTTTTTCGTCAAGAATTTCTGTCACATTTTCCAAATTATTTTCAATTTTGTCCTCAACTATTTTTTTATCCCCATTGACTTCATTTTGTGTAAATTTTGAAAACTCTTCTACAAAAATAAAGTACAACTTTGCTGTAAACTATTATTACTAAAGAATTAACATTTGTTTACCTTGTGCCCAAAACATGTATTTCAAGCCCAACTCATTACGTACGTTTCCCAAACGGCGCAACAATTCCTTCTTTGAGATTTCCCCATCGGTCCCATTGTCGATTATATATGATAAGGCGTTTTCATAGCAACGACAGCTAGAAACCATTAAGTGTTCAATATTCTTTTGCGGAATTATTAGATCGTCTGGTTCATCTGTTTACAGGACAATATAAGATATCTGTTATTTAATATAATAAATGTATTGCTTTAGTAAATATCTCACCATCACTTAACTCCTTATCTAGTTCATTAATTATGTTTTCATCACTTTCTTTAAAAAATTGTTCCAAATTATCATCGATGGTATCCCAATTTTTACTCATTTGAAAGAAGCAATCCCCTGCACGCCCCAACAAGCAACTTTTTTGAGAAACAATTTTGGACACATATTTTATAAGCACCTGTTGACAGCGACAGGCCACATAAATCGCTTTTAGACAGGCACCATATTTGTGCATGACATAGTAATGCTCAGCCAACGTAGCGTAGGTAAGACAAGCTTTCTCTAACAGTAACAATTTCAAATGCACGTTCCAGGAACCAAATAATTGCGAATTGAAATTTATTGCTATTTCTTGAGGCTGTAACTGGATTTCACCTTTAATCTGTTCAGTTGCTTCTTTAGCTTTATTCCGTTTCGTTTTACTGCCCTTTTTGTTTTTACCTTCTCTCTCACATTTACTTTGCTCTTCCACATGAGCAGCATCAATCTTGTTTTCCACATTGTCATTTTTGGAGGAGCTAGTTAACGATTCATAAGGCAATGGTATCGGTTTAAAAGGTTTTGCAATGTTGGGATTCTGCTCTTCATGTAAGATCCGTTGTCTCTCCTCTTCCTTAGCAGTAGCTTCGCTTTCCTTGATAAATTTTTCTTGATTTGAGTTAAAAAATTGTAAACAAGATAGTCCAGCACTGATATGCGACAATGATTTGAGACAACGCTCCTCAGTGCTGCCTTGCAAAGGAGACGGCTTTTTTTGCACCTCTTTAGCAGGTTTGGAGTTATGTTCGCTATTATAATCTCTTAGTGTATCGCAGATATGCTTTACAGCGAAATGATGTGAATTATCACTCAATTCTTTGCCAAAACTGTTAAAGTAATCATCACTAAAAGAAAAATCGTCTTCATCACATACAGACTGTGTATCAGAATCTATGTCAGACACGTCAAAATTTGGCGACTTCGGATCAATACCAGCAGGCACATGCAAGTCAGACAAAATGTAATAAGAGGAAGTCACAATTTGTGGATACTTCTCTTTTGGCAGCAGCTTTATACAATTATCCAGCAATGCACATATACTACCCGCTTTTTGCGGGGACATACGTTCCACAGTATTTTTCATATTTCTAGCAACAGTGTACAACAACATAGCCACAGGCACGGTGAATGGATTTCCCTGTTTTTCATCACAATTCTCTTCAGTTGCTTGATCTTTGCACAGTGTAGTCAGATCATACAATTTAACAACGTCATCATTACGTCCTTTAAAGAGCCAATATGTGTGACCCGCTTTCGTAACGTTCGCATTAAGGAACGCTAAAATGTTTTGTGCTACATTACGCACGACTTTCGGTGAGAATTTTGAGTTTTCTAAATACGGCAAATCTTCAGTTTTTATTATTTCGTAACGCTGTACAATCCCATCTAAATGATAGCACATAACCACCTCCGGCACATTACACATCAAATTATCTAACCAATAATCAATGCCGGTAAGTACATTTATAGGTTTAGTTTGGTCACGTAATCGCAAACTTATGGCAGGACGATTTGGTCCACCAAAAATGGGCATATCTGTGCCTATTAACATACGTATATCTTCAAAAGTCCAAACTACGTTACGATTGAATACGTGACTGGATTGTGGATCTGGCACATTTTCTTCAACGTTTGGTTCAGGTAGTAGTGGTCCTGTTATTGGCAATTCTTGTCGAATATTTTGTTTGTGTTCCAGTGGTGACTCAGTAGCAGAGTGCTTAAGACTGTGATATAAAAATTTTGAGAGTAAATTTTTGGTTTGTATAGCTTCACGTGATTTATCTTTAAGACAAAAATTGTGGTCATCGCTGTAATCAAGTATTTGTTCCAATATAAAAGTTCTTAGCCATTTCCAGTCATCATCCGCTTTGCGCAATAAATATTTATTTACATCAAACTCGTCAAGCAATAGGGTATTACCTACTTTGTGCACAATCATACTAATTGCACCCTTTGAGGTGTAGGGCAATTTTAGTAATCGTTTTATATTTTCGGCATCTGAAACCACATCAACTTCACCAACACAATCCGGAAACATGTGTGCCATACGAAAACTACTAATTATTTATTTTTATTTTATTAACCAACATTTTATTAAGCATAATGAAAAAAATTTTACCTGGCAAAACCTGGCGACTGGTACAATGCCTGGTGTAAACCATAACTGCTATCAGACGTGGTTAACCAATTGGATGGAGGCAGATTTAAATTAGTATTGCATTGAAGTCTATTAAAGTTTGCCGGCACTTGCACTGCAGAAAATTTAACAACAGCTTTCGATTTTATAGCGTCTGTTATTTCATGTGGTTCAATGTTTAAACAAAATTCAATCTGCATTTAAAATCAAGTAAATCTGAGAACATTATTTGAGAACGTTTTATACGAAATACATTACCTCATCATTGTTATCAGCCATGTTTTAATAAATATGTGCATTACCTCCGCTCAATTTATTTTTTATTTGTCTTTAACTAGGTGTTTTTCACTTAGTTTCTAATATTATAACGCTATTAACTCAGTTGAGAGACATACAGCTAAGCTAGAATTTTTCGAGATTGTTCCTGATCTCTTGTGATTGCAGCCGCTGTACATGTTTACATATTTTGACACGAAATCACATGTATAATATTTATCCATATCACTTTTTCTTAGTAACAGCTGTAAAATACAGGGTAAGCTGATCACAAATTTGAATATCAAATAATTAAAGTTGTGTTTATAGTTTGAAGAGTGAATTCAATGCACGCTGTATATATTTCGAGCATTTGTCTTTAGTTATTCGAAATTTCGAACTTTTGTCATCATAAATGTTGACTTAAGTAAACCCTGTTAGCATTTGACCTCGGATTTTTGAAAATTGTACCATATACTGTCATGTCTGAATTATTAAAATGTCCCAGTTTAAATAATTAAATATTTACTTCACCAGAAGAAACATTGCAATTACGACTGTTAATAGTACATTCACACTGTCTCATTTAAGCACTTGCTCATTATTATTAATAAGTAAACGTTCACATTATAATAAGCTCATTATAATAAGCTCATGCAACTGATAAAACTTTTGTAAACTTCACTTAAATATTATTAAGTCACTCAAAAAACTTAAATATATAATTGATATATTAAATCATTTATATACATTTTATATATCAATTACATATTCAATTAATAAAAACAAGGATTTAATTAAGTACTTACTACCTCAGTGCATTTGTTTACAGCTCAGCTGTTGTGTGTTTACATTTTACGCATAAAATATATGACACATATTTCAAATTTTAATAATTTCCCTTGTGGGAAATTTATTTTTAATTTTTGCATTCGAAATTTTCGGCTTAAGGTGCATTCACACCAAAGTGAACATTTACGAACGAATGAACATATGCAGGTAATGGTACCAGCAAAAGTTCGTTCGCTTTTAAGTGGATGCACCTTTAAATGATTTGATTTATTGATAATGAATTTATTCATATGAAAGCCCTTTGTATGATGAATCATTCTCACTAAATGTTGTAATGAGTAAAACCGCCTAAAACAGTGTGAATGTGCTATTACTCTGCACTTACAAAAGCATGATATAGACGATGCTACATGTATGTATACCAAGTATGCGCTTGGCTATACAATTTGAAACAAGATGCAATTTTACCGCATACATGTCTGTAGACCGAAATTTGGTATGCATACTTGAATATACACTGTGCGATTTGTTAGCACGGCATACTTGGTTAGCATACATGTAGCATCGTTTATATCTTGCTTAAGTAAGTAATGGAAACATACTATAAAAGGAAGCTATAAAGCACAGTATTTTGTTAGAATAAATTTATTACTATGGATAGCACAGCGTCTCAGCTGGTACAATCAAAAAATTGTTTTCTTTTTTTCCATACACTGTTTCATTAATCCACACGTTCCTGTTATTTGGTGAAACTAATTGAACTTTGCTTTTATTCGTCAGTTTCACAAATCAATCAAACAGAGTAGTGCTTGCGTTGAAGGGCGCTGTAGTCTAAAGAGGTTATAAGCTAAGAGTAGTCCAGTTTTTATACAATTTCCAAACAGAAAATGGAGGTAAAAAATCGAAATTGTTTTTCAAAGAATTCTTTAAATAATATTAAATATATATAGATTGAAGTTGTTAGTGCAAAAAATTCCAAAGTATTTGGTAAATGTCATGTACCGGCCACCATATCAATAGGTGACTTGCCTGCTCAAATACATAAGCAACTGAAGTCAACCCCAGCACCAAATCGTCAATCACTACGTTTGGATCCACGCGGCAAAGCGTTAAAAGACAGCGATACCCTTCAATCGCTGAATTTACGCAATGGCGTACGCATTTATGTCAAAGATTTAGGTCCACAAATTGCTTGGACGACAGTATTTCTGTCAGAATATGCAGGGCCACTACTGGTTTATTTACTTTTCTACGCTCGTCCCTCGATTATCTATGGAGCAGATGCTGATAAGCCAATATCGTTGACAGCGCAGTAAGTTATTAAAGCTCACCTCATTTTTAATTGAACTTTCCCTTTTTTTGCACCTCAGAACCAACACATTGAAATCTCATAAGTTTTTGTGTGTAATATAAAGACCTAATTTGACCTCTTCGATTGTCGTTTCGCGTTATGCTAAAAGTTTCACCAGCGTTTAAAATATAATACGCTTTGCATTAATTATACATTTTATATTATTTCTTCTTTTTTTTTTTTGTGCTTATAAATATATGTATTAGTATATTTCTTTTTGTGTTGTTGAATAATTTTATAAATTTTCGGTTTTCTATTGTAGCATTGCGGCCGCTTGCTATACGGTGCATTATGTAAAGCGATTGCTGGAAACAATTTTCGTTCACCGCTTCTCACACGCTACTATGCCAATACGTAATCTCTTCAAGAATTGCAGTTACTATTGGGGCTTTACAGCATATGTGTCCTACCACGTCAATCATCCACTATTCACATCACCATGCCAAGTGCAAGTATTGGTTGGTTTAGCGGCCTTTGCGGTAATTTTATTTATTATTTTAAGAAAAAAAAAGAATTTAAATTAATTGTATATATTATTATTTTATAGCTCTGTGAAATAGGCAATTTCTCTATCCACATTGCCCTGCGTAATTTGCGACCACCTGGCACAAAAGTGCGCAAAATTCCAATGCCTGACAGCAACCCATTCACACAACTTTTCAAGTCAGTTTGCAATTATATAAATTTTTTCATCATTTCATTAATAAAATTTATTTTTATTTTTAGTCTTGTTTCCTGTCCCAATTACACATATGAAATCGGTGCCTGGGTGAGCTTCTCTATAATGACCAACTGTTTAGCCGCTGTACTTTTTGCTATTGCTGGCGGTTATCAAATGATGGTTTGGGCTTTAGGTAAACACCGCAACTATAAGAAGGAGTTTACACAGTACCCTAAATCGAGGAAGGCTATATTCCCATTTATTCTTTAAATTAATTTACATCATTTCTTAGCCAAGCCAAAACATTTCCATATTTTCTTTTGCATAATGAACAATTTTAAATTAAATAATTTTAAGGTTTTAGGATTTTCTTATTAGTGGTGTAACTGTGACTTGACACTTTTTAATATTGTTGTTTAAATAAATAGCAAAAAATCAATAAAATGTTTTGTACATTTTTTTTGGTTTGTTTGTTGAAAAAAAAGTGATTTTTTATTGTTAATATTTTGTGTAAAAACCGGTTAAAACTAATTAAATGAGCTATAACTCTACGAATATAAACAAAACACAATATAATTGAATAGAATATAATAGAATTCTTATTTTATTTACTTAATTTTCTTTATAATTATTTACACATGTTTTACACTCTTTTTACACTGAAAAAAATTAATAATGCAAATGAATTGCATATTAGTTAATAATGCATTTGTACTTGGTAGAATTATTGTTGGACTGTCATTCCATTGGTGCTGTCAACTTTCAGGAATATAAATCCTTTTTCATAAAACCTTCAAACATTTTTCAACTCAGGCAACCCTCCTCCTCTCACTTACCCTCTATCAAATCTATATCTTTTCAAAACAACTGGAGACCTAGTGCCTTTAATGTCTCTTACTATATAGATGAACGATGAATCAGAACAAGTCGTTGCCTAAACTAACTGATAAAATGCAATGTTTTGCGTTAAACTTAACCAATATTAAATAGTTATACGAGGAAAATATATATGTCTTTTAAACAACTCTCCCACTATTGAGAAATATCTCATGGATTTATTGCTTTAACCTGCAAATTTTATTTATACATTTTTAAACAAATAAATTGAGCAATTGATTAAATAATACACAACTTTTTAAAAATATATTTTATTGTCACAAATATTTTGACTACAGTCTATAGTCAGTTTCAGGGTACTTCTTCAGGACCAATTAGCCCGTTCAAGAATATAAAAATACCTTATAAAAATAGTTATAGATGAACGACTGTGTGACATGCTCTCAGTCCTTCATAAGGATCGGTATAACTCTATTATTTCGTTGCTGAAACCACTTAAAAGCATTCATAATGATCAATTAAAATTGGTTAACTGTTACATCGGATACTATATTGAAATAAAATAAAATATAAAATGAGTGATTCTGGGACATAAACTCAGTCGTTCATCAAACTACTACACAAAACTATAAGTTTCAGTGAATATAGACAAACAATGCGTGAAAGTACTCAATAGAACTCATATCGGAAATTAAATGTTGGCAAATAGTAAAGTCGTTTCTGAAACCACTTGATAGAGTTCATAAGGATTAACGTATATTGCTTATTAGTTTTTAAAGCTTGCTCTGAAACCAATTGATAGAATTTTGATTAACTTCAGTAGTAATCAGCAAATAGTTTCTGGAATCACTTAAAGGATTTGATAAATTCTTGAAGATAACAGTAAAAAACAATAAAACCATTCTTAAAACCATTTTGAAAAATTGAGGATGTTTAAAAATAGTTTCTGAAGCCACTTAGGAAATGCAACTGCGAATTTTTATACTGCTTCCCATATTGTAAGCAACATTTTAACATTAATAAAATTAAGGGATCATGATATCTTAGAAAATATATTAAATTATATAAAATTATGATCATTATCATTATGATTATTATCTTCTTAGATATAATTTATCAAGCTCATAATTTCGGGAAGCGTTACTGTATACCCAAATTTTAAATATCAATTAGAAAAATATTATAAACTTGGTTTTTCTTTGATATTTAATTTTTTAAGTGTTAATGAATCATTAAAATAATCATAATAAAAGATTATAAAGTGTTATCTTAAAAAATAAAACTGAACATATCGATAGAATTGGATAAAAAGAATGATAAAATTCATTCTTATTATGTATACAAAGATATATTTTTAGTTGTCTAATATTTCACATATTCTGTTTAAACTTAACCGTCAGCAGGACTCAATTACAGATAATTGTACAAGTGTTTACACTTGTACTAAATAGCAAAACAAATATTACAGAGCTCTTTCGCTCTCTCTCTCTCTCGTCATTAAGGTCAGGGTATAGCCATGTGCTGAACAGTTACTTGCGTCAATTTCCAACGTGTGTCTCAACTGCAACTCTACTTTCCTAATGCACGCACCAATTTATGCCCGATTGATCTTTGGCTCGAAACAACTGAACTGGCAAGATTTCCCCACCTCTATCTGAGCTAGTTTCAATTAATTCCCATCCATCTTTTAACCCAAATCGTTACCGTTACCCCTATCTAATCCATATGGTAACCCATGCATTTGTTGTATTTCCTTTTATGTTTTTTGCAGTATAGTTCATCTTGAGTTGCAACAACAAAAAAACTTCCAAGTTCAAAATAAAATTTTGTTATTTTTATCTGGTTTGTCGCATGTGTCTAAAGTTAGAGAACACAAGTACTAAAGTATTTAACTATTAAAATCAAATAATACTTCAATTCAATTCCGTATGATGCAAGAATTTAATGTAAGATAAGGAGCAAAAGGGTCTTACAGTCAATCTAGGCGTTCATACTGGCTAAACTTTCCTTGACTAATGCCGATCTGTCCACATAGAATCGCTATATTATGTTTTATATGTTTCATGGTAAAAAGAATATTTACTTGACTTTTCTTCAGCCACTCTGATTTCTCAATATTAAAAATGTAAAATAAAAGATCCCAACAGTATAAGTTTCAAGAATGTTTATTGTTTGTCTTCCCGACAATATATTTCTACTGAAATATATTCTTTATTGACATTGCAAAATAATTAATTCTATAACAAAATGTATAAAATTGTAATTATAATTACAATATTTAATTTAACTTATAAAATGTTTACACAGCTAATCGAGCTTACATCTTAAGACTAAGGCTACATGTTATTAAATAATTATTTATATAAACAGAAATTATTATGAATATCTTTTTTGTTAAAAATAAATTAAATAATTTTTTCTTTCTTTAAATATTTAAAAAGTTGATCTCTCCGATTGATTGAATTCTTCAATTCATTTTCCTGTTCTTCGAACTCTTCCTGTTCTTCCTCACAGTCTTCATCACTTTCATCATTTTCTTTGGAGCAATTCACCTCAGTGGGTTCCCAAAAATCATTCATAGATAAGCAAATATTATGCAAAACACAAGTGCTAGCCACTATGTTGGTTATTACAGGCAAATTAGTTTGTTCCGTGAATTTGGATAGTCTTTGGAAGCGAGTTTTAAGCAACTCGAATGCATTCTCCACTACAATGCGTGTCTGTGAATGTTTTTCATTGAATTTTTTGTGAGACACACTTAAAAGCTCGTTGTTCTTGAATGGTGGCACAAGCCAATTTGTACTCGAATAAGCAGAATCTCCTATAACAAAAGATGAATTAGGAAATAATTCATCATAATGCTCCTTTGCACGTTTATCTAAGTTAGATTTTTCTAAAACACCCTGGCCACGTAAACATCCCGGCTCTCCGCAAGTAATATCGATAAACTTTTTATCGGCATCTACAACAGCTTGCAATGCGATACTATATTTATTTTTATGATTTAAATAATCTCCTTTATGCAACTTTGGAGCTCTGATAGGAATGTAGATAACATCTATTGCACCAATCACGCCTGGTATGTTTTGTATATTTTGAAACTTTTCCATAGACTCAAGTGCAGCCTTTCCTCGAGGCCAATTCACAAATTCGTGACTTATTGAAATTAGGAATTCTGTAACAGAACGAACGGTACACCATGCGACCGAGGCAGATACACCAAACAAGCCTGATAATTCTCTATAACTCACCGTGCTAATAACATACCAGACATACATAAACACTGACTTTCTATCACCGATGCGATTTCTTCCACCATTTATCTGATTGGGCAAAAACTTAGATTGTGAAAATCTCGCTGAAAAGTATATTATTATTATTATATATTTAATTTGTTTATGTGCGCACGTAATTACATATGATTTTTTCCGCCGTTTTTCGTTCAATTTTAAATTGGCGTTTAAACTCCTCATCGCTCATATCCGCAATTGTGATTTCAAAGCTGTTTTTTTCGATATCTTGTTCAAAATCGGATTCCTCTGAAGAACTTGAACTGGAGCTGGCAAAAATAACATCCAATATTTCATTGATCTCTTTTTCATCTTGCAACCGTCGCAAATCGCTGCTTCTGTCTGTTAACATGGATAAAGCCTGTGGAGCAGATTATTTGAATACCATTATTTTCTTTTAGTGTATTGGTGTAAAGTTAAATGATTTTACCACAACGTTCAGAGAATTATTCATTTTTACTTCACTTATACGACAAACAAAATAAACCTGCCGGGAAGTAGTGGGACAAACAAAATTTGAGATTCTGACAGTATGCGACAGTGCTACCAAATTATTTCAAACGGTATTCATACCCTGCTTTCACTTACGATAAGTGAGTACTGACATGTTTATACTGCAGCTAAAACTATTAAGGGCCATGTTATGCAGAGTGTCTCGGGCACGGCAAATTACGCTCTTTCGAGCTATGCCGAAAATGCATGTTATGCAGAGTGTCACATCAGTATTGCCAATTTTGTATTTTTACAATGTTTTGATACTTTTTGGTTGTGCCTAAATTTAAAAGGAAATTTAGATAGGCTCAATTTCAATTTTCCATCAAAAATAACTAGTAAGAAAAAACTCATAGAGGCTGTAATAATGTTAATTTATTATTACATTATCTTACAATAATTATGAACAGTACTTAACAGTATTTACGCCTTTCTTTAAAACAGGAAAGTGTAATAATTATATTATTAGCGATTTATAAAAAAGGGCTGTGTTGCTTACTGCCATTTTTTCTCCAAAGCGTATTAGAATTGTAGTAGTTTGCTCCTAAAAGGCGCAAATTTTAAAATCTATTACTAAACAACACTGTTTTGCCTTAGTGCCGGGGCACAAATACGCCGGCTCTCATGCCGGAGTTTGAACGGCCATATTGTATTTTTTCTCATTCTCAAATTTAAAATTTACATTGAAAACAACAACAATTGTACTCATGCCGTACCCGAGACACTCTGCATAACATGGCCCTAATGTTAATATTTGATTTAAGCATGTGAAAGAGCTGTATCAAACGATTGTATTTTCTTAGAAATGTCAGTTATGACAGTAGTGACTATTTTACTTAATAGAAACTATTTTATTTTATTAGAGAGATTTCGAAAAGTAGTGAACTACAACAGCAAACATTTTATTATATTATTTCGATTGTATCTTTGGCTGACCATACTATTGTTTTGAGTATTGCCAAATACTCATCATTAGCGGTCTTGAAATTATTTCTAATATTTATTTAAGAAACATATTTTTTGCAATGTTGTATTCGACATCTTTGGTGAAATTTCTCTTGATTTATTTATAATTAAATTAAACAGCATGAAAGCTCTATGGTTAATTAATTTCATTAGTGAATTTAATCAAATAAAATTTATATTATTAGCTAATAAAACAGAACTTAATTGATTTAAATATAAAAATACATATATGCTACCTTAAACTTTTGTTCATATGTTTCGTTAAGAATACAATCAGCGTGAAATGTTACTAAAAAATCTAATATATAGGTCGTGTGCGAGTTAGGCTAAGTTGATGCTAAACCAAATAGGAGATTTTTTGGGATTTTTTTGCACTGCACACATTTAGCCATTTATCAACACGTATCGACACATCACTACATTATCGGCTCATCTTAGAATTTCACTTATTTAGAACGCAACTTAGCCTAACTCGCACACGTCCATAATCGCTTATATTTTTGATAAAAAAAAATAAAACATATATGATATGTTATTACCAATAAAGCGTTATTAATTATATTATAAAGTCTCATTTCGATTTGATTATTTTTCCAATATATGCATATATATACTTTTTTAATTAAACTAACTATAGACATATATATATAATTCTATATATAATTCATATATATATAATTATTTAGTAGAAAATTGCAAATATTTTCATTATAAAAGCGATATTCCTATATACCGTAAGTACCGCATATCGTAAAATATTATATCGTACCGTACCACTTTGGAATATGTATGTGATGTGGTAAAAAATTATTGGTACGCCCTATGCGTTCGAACTTCATTTGGTTGGTTTATTTTGAAAATTTTGTTTTGTCGAAGGCCGGTTTGATTTGTTTACAATATAAAATAACAAATGTAACTAAAAACTTATTAATAAAAGTAACAGAATCTAAAGGATATTAATTTGGAATTACAAAATGAGCCACTTTGAAGAGCTGGATGCTTTGGATCCGCGTGGACCATCTGTGCCACCACCAAGAATTGAAACTCCAACACCACACAAAGTGGCCGTCGTTATGTTGGTGCAGAATTATATCAAAGTAAGTATTGTTATGCAATAGATTTAAGTGTAATCTCAATCAAAATAATCTTAATCTATTGCTTAGTCCAAGCGTACTGCCAACGATTCGGGTTATCAATTCCTTCCACAATCGAGACGCAATTTTTGTATGCTACTCTTGAAGCTCATACAATATCCTGACATGACATACAACGACCTACACAATTTACTCACCTCGCCACGTTACAAAATCGATGTCGTGCATCTGGACTGCTTCGAGAAGAGCATGGCTGAATTATTCTCGAACGGCATAGAAGTGCTCTTTGATTTTGCTGAGCTGCAGAATATAGAGAAAATGCTTGCAGAGGAAGTTGGCGTCTGTCAATTCAGCATAGTTGGCTTGTACATACGCAGAGTAGGTGTTGTTATGGAGCGTATGTCATTCCCAGAGATGATGGCACTCTACAAAAATATTTGCATCTATTATGAAAAAGGTTTTCTTAACTTTCAATTATGTTTTATACTAAGCTTATAATTATTGTAATTAATTTATTTTTAGGAATACGGAGTTTAGCTATTGGTCCACGTAAAGCTGCTGGGCAAATGAATATTGCGGAGAGTACAACTAATTCTAATAATAAAACTACAAATGCTGAAGCTACTATCGATGAGTGCGCCTTAGACACTGACACTGTACATCAAGATCGCAATCCACATAGCAAGTGGTCACCCAAACAGGCTGATCTCTTTGTTACTCAACAGTGTAATCTATTGGAAAGTAATGAGCTACGCGCTTTGCCACCCATAGAACTGCAAACCAAACTGGGTGAAATCGTGCAAGATAATCCATTGAACTCCAAAGCATACTTTTTGGGCTACATGAATCAGTTGAGATTGCGTGATTTCTTTGGTGCTATGGATGCACTACATCGTTCCTTCGATCGCAGTCCCTTACAAATGACGAATCAATATGAGCAGAAGGTATGCGTAGTGGACACACACAATTTTTTAAATTTAATTGGATTCTATATTAAATATTATATTTTTTGTACTCTAGGGTTTTCAGTATTTCAGCATTAATCTCGCCGTCCTACACGCCAGCTTCGATCATAAACGCGAAGCTTTAAGTGCACTACGTGAATGTATTATGCTGGCACAGGAGTGTGGTGATAAACGTTGTTTGGATCTTGCAAATGCTTGGTATTGCCTACTAAACAGCCATCGAATGTATCCCTTCGAGAAGAGTTTACCTGACATACAAGATCCCGGCTTAATGCAATCTCTTTCCTTGGCCATACAATTCGTAGTTAAATTTGGAGCACAGTGTGGTTACATGCCTCTGGATCTCTTCGAACTACTCTTGAAGAGTGATGAACTTAATAGTAAAAATTACATTTTGGAACATGTTTCCGATTCGTTAGCACTGCGTTCAGCACTTTGGTGTCTATATGGACGCTACGAAATGTCTGCTATGTATGCGCAGTTGCTGCTCAACTTAAAGAAAACCTGGGTATTTGGTGATGTGAGCAATTCGGAGAGTGTCTGTAAGGTTCTATCAAGCCTGGCACTTTGGTTGAACATACAAGGAGAACACCACTTAAGTGCTGTGGTGTTGCATAATGCGCGCAAACGTTTTCCACGCTATCCGCACGCAGCTCAATGGATGATTAGTGAATGCCATATAAAAATACAGCAATGCATCTATCGTTGTCGTTGGCAGGAAGCATTAAAAGCTTGCTGTCAACTTTATTTGCTGGACAAAAATGACGGCAATCTGCAGCGCGCCACTGTATTGGTGGCAAAACGTTATTTTAATGTGGCACGTCGCCTACTGCACAAACTGCTGGAAACGAGTAATTTGGACATTTTAACAAACATACGTGTGCTGGTCCTGAAGGCCATCTCAGTGGATTGCATGTCATCACAAACTATAGAACTGCTTATGCGTGCCTCGGTGTTAGCTGCCTCGGCGTATCTGGAGTATGAACATGCAATGGTTGATATGGTGCTAGCGCAAGTGCTGCTCAGAATGGGTTTGATACAGAAAGCTTTCCAAGCAATTAAGAATTGCATGGAAATCATCTGTATTAATGGCGGCATCTATGATCGCGCCAAGACCGATTTTATATTTGTTAAGTGCTTGGTGGCAGCAGCAGATAGCAAGGGTATGAAGATTATAGGTCTTCTGAAATCCATACCGATGTTGGAGAACGCAATTGAACAGTTTAAGAAACTGGAGGCACATGCAAAAGTTTTGGATATTTACGTGTATCTCGCCAAGACCTTTGACGAATTGAAGGAAAGAGAGGAACGAAATAAGTATGCTTGTAAGTTCAAGCAATATTTCAAGTCGCATCCGGTTGCAAGGGAATATCTTGGCATGATATTTTGAATAAAAACAAATATTTTAATAAATTGAAATTAAAATTTATTCATACGAAAAGGAATTATATTTATAAGTAATATATATATGTATGTAAATGTTAATATAGTGAAAAGTTAGGAGTATTTATACTTAACCAAATAAATGTATCAGTTAGGCAATGTATTAATTATTCCATTTTCTTACGTTTTGACAGCGATGGCCTATCAAAATGCTGCTTCATGCCACCAGCTTTTTCATTATGGAATTTAATATTATTTGTTGTCTCGGCATACCAGGGAGAATCAAATTTGGTTGTGTCCTGATCTACTAAATGCGTATATTTGGTACGTCCGCAACGTCCAAAATTCTTAACCTGCATCACTTTAGGCAAAATTGTCTTGTCAAAGTGATCTTCCAGTGTAGCTTGTGCGAAATCACGTTTAAGTACATCTTCTTCCTCGTCCAGGTAGAAGGCACCACGATGATAATATTTCTGTAAGAACTTATATTTGCCTTTGCTGGCTTTGTTAGTGATTAATTTTGGATTTGTGCGCATTTCCTGTCGACGTTCTTCCTCAGTTAGGTTACGCAAACGATCAATTTCAAGCTTGTCACGTTCGGCACTAAAAAAAATGGTATTTAATTTGAAATAAATAATTTCTTCCACAATTCATACTTTTCTCTTTCTTCGCGATCACGTTTCATGCGTTTCAATTCACGCAATTTCCAGGCTTCATACTCCACTTCATCATTCTCATCATCAGTGCATACATCATCGATTCTGGCCTCTGCGGTGTCAGGCTAAAATAAAATTATATACATAAACCCATTGAATACGATATTGAATTTTTACTGTCCGGAATCAAAATATTTGGACAAATATATTTCAAAGAATATAAGTTAAAAGCTAGGCTTCCTGCTCATCATCCGCAATTTATTTAAAATTCTATTATTAAAGCATTTTAAATTTGGTAACACACAAAACAGCTGTACAGTCAGTCAAAAATTCAATTAATTAAAAAATAATAAAAAAATATTTGTTGTTACAATTTTACTACTCTTCGAATACTAAAAACCCTTTATTGAAAAGAATGGTTTAAGAATTTAGATTCTTTCGTCAAAATGGACGTAAAAAATCAATAATATAGACTAGTAACCATCTATTCCTAAATTCATAAAGTATATAAAAATTTTCTATTAGCCGCACTGGGAGTATTAGACAATAGTAGTACTTCTAAGGTAGATACACAACTCTAAATGGGACTACGACTCCATCAACCGTGTCTCCAACTTCTATTAAAAAGAAATCTAAGGTCTACGAGTGTCATTTGTAGCCCTTAATGTAGATACAGCTGCATCAACCAGAAATGATATTACTGTAGACCCAAAGCCACTATTTTGCAGATGGACAGTGTATTGGAGGGGGCCGAAATGAATCGAATAATAATATGCGTGTATTCATTAGTAAAGTATATTAGCTATTTAATAAGATAAAATTTTTTTTATGACTTGTACCTACGCGCCAGACACAATGGTGTAAACGTTTCGATTTGATGAAAACCGGTTCAACTCAACTTAGCCTCAATCATAGTACTTTAGTTTTAAATAAATTCCTAACAAAACATCCTTTAAGTGTATGAGCAGGATATGCTCTAGAAGCAACCAATGCTAATTACCAAATTTGCACTTACTTTCACCTTTTCCAAATCCTTTTTGACACTATCTTCGACCATACGTAGGGTATGTCTGCGTCTTTCCTTAGCAGATTTCTTAGCTTCAGTTTCGAGTTGTTTTTGTTTCTGTGCCTCACGTTCCTTCTCCTGTATTGTAGCTCTGTCGCGTTTACGTACAAAAAGTGGTTTTAGACGTGGTTCATTGTCTTCCTCACTTTCAGTTTCCTCCTCATAATCTGAACTCTCGCTATCTGATGATTCTGATTTGTTTTCTTCTTCTTTTTGTAAAATCTGAAATATAGTTAGATTATTAAATTTTTTTTTTGTTTTTTTTTATTTTATTTAAGCAAAATAGTTCACCTCTTCTTCTTTTTGTTGCTGCAACATGCGTTGACGTAGTTTCATACGTCTCTTCTCCAATTCAGTTTCACTTAATTCTGAATCAGAGTCAGACTCTGAAGCTAATGTGATTTTATTTGTCGATGCTTCAATAGTGCGGTTGGGTTCATTCTCGCTTTCCTCTGATTCTGTTTCAACAAATTCTGGCTCATGTACATGTCGATGACGATCTTTCCGTTCCAGCTCTACATCATCTTGTTCTACGGGACGTGCACGTAGTCGCCTTAAACGTGGATCATCAAATTCAGCATCATCATCTTCATCGGCTGCTCGCTGAAGTGCAATTTCCTCTTCACGCCTTAAGCGACGCTCCTGCTGCGCAATTGCGGCAGTTGTGCGCTTCCGATGATCGATGAAGTCTTCCAAGTCACTCTCATCGCTGCTAGAATCATTTCGTGCATAATCTGGACGCTTGCCTGATACGTACCGTTGCACTTTTACTTTTTGCATAGAAATCTCACCTAAAACATAAATAGAATATAAATTAGCGTTGGCACTGCACTTGAACTTGCGCGCATTTCGTAATAACCTTTCTCATTTCGCACTGGCACAGCGCCTGCAGTGCTTTGTATGCCCGCAATAATTACCGGCAAACTCATTTTATTTTTTCAATTGAAATTGCAATCAACTTTTTTATAAATAAAATTTTCCCAGATTTTTTCTTCTTCTGCTTCTATTTGTTGTGTTCTATGTTGGCGATGAAAACGTTTGCCAGCTGACTGTCAAATTTGTGTGTACACAAAATTGTAATAAATTTGTTGCTATTTGTGGTTTGTGTCCGTGCTATTCGGTGTTGCGATGTTTTTGGCTCAACTGAATTTTTCAATTTCGTTTTAGTTTTAATTGTTTATTGTTGTTTTTATATTTTGCGTTATACAATTATACAATTGAATTTGTTGAATTAATTTTTGGTATTTATTTTCTTCTAACAAACGCAATAAGGAAGTAAAGGGCAAAAATAAAATATATGAAAATATTTCAAAATATATGCAATTGTTATTGTTTTTTAATTTGCGAAAAGTTAAGTGTAATAATAAGTGCAACTACTACGAAAAGACAGTTTCATTCCAATTACAAAAACAAAAAAAAAATAATAATAAGAGAAAATATTGTTTTAAAATATTAGCAATATCCGTTATTTAAAAATAGAGAAAAATATTTTCTCATCTACAAAAGAAAAAAAAAAGAGAAAGCGGAAGTCACTAAGAGATTTGAATTGTTGATGAAATAAAAATAACTTGACAATTTGTAATTAATTAATAAATTTCTTTAATTAAATAATAACCCGTGCAAGTTGAATTTAAGTGGTGATACATCGATAAAAAATTAAAAATAATTACCGTGAAAAATTTGAACTTGGCACCGGATTAATGGAGTTTAATTAAACGCGAAGGAGAGAGCGAGACAGTGAGCCACGTAATTGCAATTTCCCAAACCGGGCACTTTTCCTTAAAAATACGTGTCTATGTATTTATATAGTATTTTTGTGAAATATTTCAAAGTAAATTAACCACGTATAATTAGTGAGAGTATTTATATACTTAAAAATTTTACATTTTATAAAATCAATTCAATTAGATAAATAATTATTTTAATTTGAAATTATGAAAATAGACGCACGTGCGGTTTAAATACATTAATCTACAAGGATAATAAAACGATTTTCATTCAGTAAAACTAAAAATAGACTATATATATATAGATAGCTACAGTAAGTACATAGGATTTAAATAATTAAAATTAATTTAATAAATATCAATAAAAAAAAATTTGATAAATTTTTTTAAAAAATTTTTAAATTTGATAAAAACTTTGAGCTATTTCAGTATTTTAGATTTCTTCTACGGGAGACCGCCACATACTTATCGCCTAAGGACAACTCTCTAAAATTGCTGCCTATGGCATATATGCGGCTATTTAAAACGCCATTTCGTTATATTTTATTATTAAACTGCCAACTCGAGAAGTTGAAGATTATACCGTAAACTCTGAATTCGGCAGAGTGGATTCAGTAAATTTTTAAGCAATATTAGTTTGGTAAGTCATAAATAATTTAAATTTAATTTATTTAAATGAAAAATATTTTTATTCTATTATTATTATTATTATGAAATAATAAGCTATAAATTGTTATTGTTTTTGCTTAAGTGAGTTTCCAATCTAAACCTAAACAGACTATGTTTACACTAACAGTTTTCGGACATTATTTAAATTTAATTTATTAAAATGAAAAATATTTTTATTCTATTATAATTATTATTTTAAAATAATAAGCTATGAATTGTTATTGTTTTTGCTTAAGTGAGTTTCCAATCTAAACCTAAACAGACTATGTTTACACTAACAGTTTTTGGACATTATTTAAATTTAATTTATTTAAATGAAAAATATTTTTATTCTATTATTATTATTATTTTAAAATAATAAGCTATGAATTGTTATTGTTTTTACTTAAGTGAGTTTCCAATCTAAACATAAACAGACTATGTTTACACTAACAGTTTTCGGACATTATTAGCATATTTTTATTTGGAGTTTGTATAAAACATGACAGCTATAATTAGCTGCTTATTTGTAGAGTTATTTGCGATAGTATAAACGAAACTTACGAATATTGTAATACAAAGTATTGTGTTTTATAAGCATATAGCAAAAGAACAACATAAAATAAACTCTACTTTTGATGGCAACTCTGGAAGAACTGGACATTTTGTTAGGCTTATATAAAAAAAAAAACATAAAAAAATAATTAGGACTATTTATACCTGAAAAATTGCGTTGTTTATATCAATACTTAATAATTATGTCTAAATAATATATATGAATAAATATAAATATGAGGTATTGTAACAGTGCCAAGTTGTTAGCGTCAATGCTATCGCTGTCCTCTTCTTATTCATTGCTCGGTTAATGGCTTTTTTTTATGGCTAATCACTAAGAGTTAATTTTTTCTTTATCTCTCATGTTGACGTTATCAAAATTTACTGTTAGCTTTATTTTTACCATGTATTGGACTATAGGCCATGTTATGCAGAGTGTCTCGGGCACGGCAAATTACGCTCTTTCGGGCTATGCCGAAAATGCATGTTATGCAGAGTGTCACATCAGTATTGCCAATTTTGTATTTTTACTACTTCTTGGTTGTGCCTAAATTTAAAAGGAAATTTAGATATGCTCACTTTCAATTTGCCACCAAAAATAACTCGCATGAAAAAACTCATAGAGGCTGTAATAATGTTAGTTTATTATAATATTATCTTATAATAATTGTTAACAGTACTTACGCGTTTCTTTAAAATCGGAAAGTGTAATAATTATATTATTAGCGATTTGTAAAAAAAATGCTGTGTTGCTTACTGCCATTTTTTCTCCAAAACGTACTAGAATTGTAGTAGTTTGCTCCTAAAAGGCGCAAATTTTGAAATTTATTACTAAACAACACTGTTTTGTCTTAGTGCCTGGGCACAAATACGCCGGCTCTCATGCCGGAGTTCGAACGGCCATATTGTTTTTTCTCTCACTCTCAAATTTAAAATTTGCATTGAAAACAAAAACAATTGTACTTATGCCGTGCCCGAGACACTCTGCATAACATGGCCCTATAGATGTCACACAATAGGAGCTGACTCCAACTGCCTGCTTTAAAGTCATACCTATGTTCATATAATGCTGGAGGATTTTTTATTTGTTGAATACGAATTCATTAGGGTTAGCATACATTCTCTTCTCCTTTTCTATCGAAGTTGTTTCCAACATCATTCTGAAATCTGCAAAATAAAAATAGGTACCACTGGCTTTCCATATATGGAAAACGCTTCATCTGAATCTATATCTTTAAATGATTTTATACTCCCTATAAAGTTCGTCGTATTTTTATCACCTATATTAGATATATTATTTTAGATCAGCAATTAATCGAGTTCTGATGAATTCAGAGTTGAAAAAATCTCATCATTTTTAAAAACAATCTGAGTCAAAATGTACTTAACTGTAATAAAACATTTTTTAATTGATCAACTTTGCTTGAAAATATTTTGAATTTAATTAAAATTAATTAAGTATAAAGTTTTGTATTTGTAATTAACAAAAATCTTCCACTTTGCATTGAAGCGCCACACTAAGCTCAGATTATTTTACGTCATTCTGTCTCGCATATAATAAATAATTTACGCAAATTAAAATGAAATTCAAAGAATTATATATAAAAACAAAAACAAAAACAAAGACAAAAACGATATAAACATATGACAATATATTAAGAATAATAAACAAACAAAAATTGCATAAATTATTTTATCTGAATCAAAAAGTATCTCACTGAAAGCTCACGTGAGGTGCGTCGAGCTCAACTTGAACTCACGTTTATAATTTTGAAGCAAACGAGGTTAGCTGGCTTAGCGCACTTTCTTCTTCATCTTCCTCTCTTCCTCTTATATTAGATCGGGGAAAAACTTTACTCACATTCACGAGAGTATCTTTTTATCTCTTACCGGTTTTGTTTAGGTTTTGCAATAATTCAGTAAAAAAAAAGTACAACTCCGATTTATGAGTTTGTTTTTGTTTTGAATTGTTTGTGTACTTGGAAGCAGGCATAAATACGTCACAATCTTCTATGTCATGGATGTTGTGATAGTCTTAAGCTGGCCTCTTAGAAGCCACAGCGTCACAGTTGTTTGCTTGAATAGAAAAAATCCCAGTGTTGTGAGTTCGGTTTGCATTACCGGCTAAAACTGCTCTTGTGCGGATTTTGTTTTTACACGATTGTGTAATGAAGTTAAATAATTCTCTCTTAATTAATATGTAAAATGGTTGAGTTCATTAGTAAACACAGAATTTGTTTAGGTACTTGAAGGCATTATTAATGCATTTCTTATTTGTAAGTTATTAAATGATTTACAATGTAAATTATGATAACAATGTTAGTACTTAAAATGAAACAGCATACTTTCAATATTTATAGTTTGTTTTTAATGTAATTAAAATTTAATTAATTATCAAAAAAAAAAAAAAATCAAATACCCACAATTCAGCATCACACATGGAGTTCTTTATAGGTCAATGTATCTCAACATTTTTGGTAGTACCTCCCTCTTAGATCAAGTTAATTGTGTCGAAGTTCCTAGGGATACAATTAAGCCTTTTGGTCTAATTTGTTAGAATATAAAAACTCAGAAGTTTAAAAACTACTTTGAATACTAGTTAAGACCTAAAATGCTTCTTTAAGGAAGGTCTTGGAGCTAGCTAAGATCCTTCAGAAAATAATTTCCTAATATGTTTAGTCAACGCAGTGTAATAGGCAGACGTGAGGCAATTTACTTCTACTTTATTTATTATTTATTATTAAAAGAAGGGATTGTACACTGTGACTTAAAAGATCTATTGTGCCCCTTACTCTGGTTAGAGTGTTTCTCCAAGTCCGATTTCTTTAATGAAAGACAATATAGAGCCTACCTTTCCTAGTTTTGAATCTTTATGATCCATGAAATACTCTCCTAGGTGTTTCTTCCGCTTGTGCATCAGTGCCGGGCACTCTCCAAGCACTATGAAATATCCTCCTAGGTGATTCTTTCGCTTGTGCATCAGTGCCGGGCACTCTCCAAGCACATGGTATGCAGTTTCTCTCTCTTCTTTACAATATTTGCAGTCTGAGTTGGATTAAACTCCTAACTTCGATAGGTGATTATTCAATCTACAGTGACCCGTCAATAAACCCGTATTAATACTTACTTTTACTTTAGAGCTTTAAAAATTATTAAAAAATTATTAAAAATTATTAAATAATTATTAAATAAAATAAATAAATAATTTAATAATAATAATAAATAATAATAAATA